TGGCTTTGATACAGCATACGATTAGGGTTTCCATCCTTTTGGCCATATGTCAACTCTCGCTCACCATAAGCCTATTTCTCTATATATTTGGTATATTAATAGAAGTCCTTACATACGTTCTCATGAACTTATTTCAAAGTGGCCGACCAGGTATAAGTTGATTTGGTAAGTTACGGTCATATGCCAACCGTACCTAATTAAATCATTTTATACCTGCTCAAAGAGGCCAGATATAGAGTATATATACCGCACTTTAGGGACTTGCGGGGAATTTTTCATAAGAACGATGATGATTTTTGAGAGGCTTAGCTGGATGAGGGCCTTAAAATTAATTTTCCCATAAGTAAATAAGTGGATCTCATTTAGCCTTTGAATTTCAATTAAACGTCTACTAATCTAATCACGAGAAACTAAGTTCTCAGGCCTTCTAACAACTAACGAAACTTGAAGTGGTCAGTTTTTGTGACACGAAGCTCCTTTTTGGGGCATAAATGACGTCCTTCAATATAGATCCTGTTGACGTTAGGATAGAGGTGGAATATGGAAAAAAGTGGGTTTCAAAGAATTCCTTTGTGATTTATTGTGATTTGACCTTTCATTTCGAATGAAAAATTTGTCGGAAGAAATTCGTGATACAGTCCTATCGGAACTCGAAGGAAGATCGCCGTAGAATGAAGACTGTTTTATTGTGCTAAGGTGTGCTTGGCTCATATGTTCCTTGAATCACAGGACGGTGAACCGACGATATCTTCGCAGAATGCAGCAGTCTTCACACCTCGTTATTCCTCCTTTGATTTTTGGGGAGACTATTTCACGAATTATTTTCAACCAGCCCTTTCTTTCAAATATAAAGTCATATCACAATAAAGATGAAGTACCCTTTCATGGTGATTTTTGAATAGTTAGTGATTTTCCTTTTAATATTTGCCTAAAGTTTTTGAGGTGATGCAGAACACTTCTTTCCATCGGTCTAGCCTTACTTGCTCTTTAATCTATCATGAAGTTATAAAATAAAAATAAAATTTATCTAGCAGCTTTAAAACTCGGTATTTCAGGCTGGAGTATGTGGCTTTTTTCATAAGGACCATTTAGAGTAGATGGTAGTCAATAGCTCTTCAGGCTGTTTCCTAGACACTTTTTGGTCCCTTATTTTATCAGGATTTAGTCAAGCTTCTATTTTTACTTAGTCATTGTGAACGTTTTTGTAACTTGCTCGTGGCAATTATGAGACAATGGGGTGCGTACTCATTCCTGCATCTTATATTAAATTAGTCAACTTCCAGCATTGAACTGCTAATCTGGTTCATTCCCAGATATTCCCCCTGGCAACGTATTAAGATCGTGTGACGTGAAAGTATTCCCCTTAATTGTAGAGACCTCTCTCCCCTCTTTATTTCCTGGCTCATTGCTACATCTTTGTCCTTTAATCGCACTTTATGTGGCCACTTTTCATACCGATATCTCTCTATCTTCGCTTATTTTAATAACTCCAAAGTGAGTTGCCATTCAAGTGAATTTGCTAACGCGTAATCACATTTAATTCCAGTTTCGTATTCTGTCTCAATGGTTTATTGATCCATTTGGCTTCCAGTAAGTCACTCGCAATTATGTGTAATTGGAGGAGTTTATTCGAGCTAAGAGTGCAAAAAAATGATTGCGATAATCTGATTTTTATCCTTATTGAAGAATTTACCTTTATAATGCTGTTTCGACCTCGTTTTCGCAGCTTGGTTGGAGCGTCAGGCAGAACCTGTAAACGTACCTGCTCCTGTGTCCTCTACTATAGTATTTGTTATTTCTAGCATCGGACCATTGGCCTGGCATATTCCCAAACGTTTCGCTGACATCATATTAGGCATCATCATTGAGACGCCATCGTTAGCACGGAGTTGAAACTTATCAAAACGACAAGTGAAGGCAATCTCATTGACTAATTTTCTGTTCGACCTTTGTAGCATCACTACTCATCCCTATTCTTGTCCTAGCCTCCAGTGCTGAATTTTCTTTCAACCCCACTTCATATGGCTCATTTATCTATTCACACCATTCTGTGCTATCATTTCCTCCAGTGCTGTCCTCATCACCGTTTGCAGGGCTTTTGACCTTCATACGGGCCCCTTCTTCGACCTCGTTTGTAAATCGGTCGCTGCCACACATGAAAATCACTGTTTGGTTGTATGGAATCTGGCTGCCTAAGAGCCTTCATTTCTCGTCCCCCTTTACGTCACATTCGACGTATGTCTTTAATTTGTCTCGGAAATACTTTTTTGTTCTTAGTATAGAGCAATGAATCTCAAAAAGTCTAGTAACCGCACGTACTTCGTAGATATGAAAAGAAGCTGGGTCTTGACAAATTTATTAGTAAGCCTGTGTTAGCGTACCTTTAAATTAGCTTAAAGAAGCGAATGGAATGATTCATAAATTTTCATCACTGGAAGCCGAAGAAGGATTGCCTTAGAGTTGTGACTGTAGATATGTACGAATATACGTTCAGCGTATCGTCCCGTCACCTGGATGAAGCTCGGAAAGTTCGCTAAAGTTCACTGAGCTAAGACATTTGGCTGACTGTAATCCTACCCAATTATAATCTGATTTTGTCCATTAACGTAGCGTCTCATTATTTGGTTGGCTATTTTCTACTTTTCCTACATGTTTACGGAACAATGAGATGCATTCAGATGGCATGTGAAATGGATTAAAGTGTATTCGAAAAGTTCCATGCTTATCGAGATCACTTGTATTTTTCATCCAACACTGGTTATTAGGCTGAATCTAAACTGCATTTAATTCTGGGCGGAATATCTGTCATAATTTCTTTGATGATATTAAATTATATTAGTAATTTTTTAATTTTCCAAATGCAGCTCATGTAACTGGCCATGTGGCATTGTGATCTACTGCGAGTGTCTACACACTTCCTCTTAATTTACTTTAAGTTCGAACTGATTCCTTTCCGCCACTTCATCTGAAGGTCTTCCTTCATATTATTTATTTCGCTCACTGTGCATATATTTTTAATTTCTACTTTTCTACGTTGTCAGAATAAATTTTCCAATTCCACTGTCCTCTTTTTCAAACGAAACGAAGGCTAAACCACCGGCAATATTTTTTGTTTGCAGGCATTACGTTTTAAGTTCATCTATGCAAACTTATGGTTAAGACTTTGTTTTAATGCTTTTACCTTTCATCTTACGATATTTGTTCATTATTTAAGTTTATTTTTAGGTTAAGGCCCATTCAGAAAAGATATAAGCTATATATAATCAATCATAACTTTGGAGAGTGGTTCCATTCCTTGCTTATTTGGTTGAAAAGCTAACTGAGGATTTGAAATTGGTTGTGTTATGACTCGATTCAATATCGCGCCCAACTTCCCTTCTATATATATATAGGTATGAACCAGGAAGCCTGCCTGATTTTACTACCTTTTATCCAATAAGATCATGAACATATCTTTTTTATGACTTACTTCCTTGCCATGAGGGAATTTCCCATTTTTACTTTCTGAGCTTCGCTGTCACTTTTTTATCGTCACCTCTCAAAAATCTCTCTTTTCCACCTCTTCCCTTACTATTTAATTTCAGTATGCCGAGTCTCGCTTGATACTGCTCGCCAAACTCTGACCATTCTTCAACAGTACTGTGCCCTCGTCCAACCAGGAGACGAACAACTTACTGGTCTTTACACCATCGCCGCATCCACTCTTTCACCGGTTACTACCAACATCACTACCCCAGATGCATCTGATCAATCAGTCTCTAAAAAAATTGGCTACAATCTTAAAGCGAATGGCTCTAAAAGACCACCATCATCAACATGTATCCACCCACTCGTCCTTACCAATACCACAACGGCGCTTGAGCTATGGTTGAGCTGCGATTCATCCAGCCTTTCAGTCGTTGCAGATGACGTTGACGAAGCTATTCCGCACAGGCCAAACTCGTGCATCGAAGCCAATCATGTAGTTAGTATGTCAAAAAGGTATAAACACCTTTCGTAAAAACATATATTTGGATTTATACGCATTAAAATTGAATTATGATTATATGAGATTTATTTAACATATTTCGTTTAAGGTGATGCAGGACTGGTAGTAGAATTTTCCCACATTGATATGAGTAGAGCTAACATTTTCATTGAATTTCATATAGCCTTGCTTTCCCAAAAGTTGTTTACATCCAGTGCGGACCGCAGTTTCGACCTAGCATATATCTTGTCAATACCCCAGGCAGGAGTCGAACCATCGCAGTGCATTGTGTGGGCTCAACCGAATGGTTAACGTGTCAAGCTCACATGTTGCACTGTCACGATTCGACTCCCACTGGGGGTGTTGATAAGACCTATACGAGGTCGAAACTTCAGTCCACCCTGGATGAGAACAACTTTTGGGAAAGCAAGGTTATTTGAAATTCATTGAAAACGTCAGCTCTACTCATATAATTGTTAGAAAATGCAACTACCAGTTCTTTATCACCTTAAACGAAATAGGATGAATACACTTCTTATATCAGATCTACTGTTATCTCGATAGCCAACTTATGCAATTGATTGCTAATTCAAATAAAACTTTGCCTTATGAATTGTGTTCACCCTTTTTCCTTTAAGATGATGAAGAACTGGTAGTAGAATTTTACCACAATGATATGAGTAGAGCTGACGTTTCCATTGAATTTCATATAGCCTTCTTTTCCCCAAAAGTGTTTTGATTCAGAGTAGACTCTACTTTCGACCTCGCATAGCTATTATCAACATCCCAAGCAGGATTCAAACCATTGCAGTGCAGCGTGTAAGCTCAACACATTAACCACTATGCCACACTGCCATAAATCGTCGATTGCTATAGCAAATATAAATTTGATTCATCGTCAATCCCACCAAAGAATGTTATAAGGGAATAGGCCTGGCCTTCCTTGGAATTCACATCTTTCCTGTGACCCAAGAGCATTCGTAGCAATATGCTCGTGTGGTTAACATGTCAAGCCCACATGCTGCACTGTCACGGCTCGACTCCCGCCGGGGGTGTTGATGAGACATGCGAGGCCGAAACTGAAGTCCATCCTGGATGAGAATAACTTTTAGGAAAGTTAATGAAATATCATATCATTATAGGAAAATTCTACTACCAGTCCTTTTCACCTCAAACGAAATAGGGTGAATACATCTCATATTGCTAATTTACTAGCAATCTCGAAACTCCACTTAAATACGAAAAATAGGATGTTTTAGTGTTAGAGTATCTTTCATTTCGCTTAAAGAGGCGAGGGATAAGATTCCTAAGTTTGTCTTACTGGAAGCTGTAGAGTAGTTGACTTGGAACTGAGGCTGTGGATTTGTGTTAATAAGTCCTCGGACGAATCTGCAGTTACAGCTACAAAACAACCTCGTTTGACTTCCAAAAAGACCAACTATGAATCCCTTCCACTCACCTCTTCAAATAAAATGAAATGTATTCCAAAGGTAATATATTAAGGGATTATTCAAAAACTAGTTTTTCTACATATCTGGGTTGTTTCAATGTTTTTGTCAAATAGATTTAATAAATTTCGCTAAGACCTTGCCATCTATTCCATTCTATCCTTCATTTGTGGCTATCACATTTCCTTAGATTCGATTTTCCATTTTATCAAAAAATTTCTTGCTTTTAATTAACTAAGGTGAGATACTCATACATCTTAACAAAAGCAAACCTATCCTCTACACACCGAACAGATTAATTGTTTTATTCTTTAGCATCTTGCATATTTGAGTTATTAACTTGACGATTTCCTTCCATTAATTAAGAATTTATATGAATCTTGGTTGCTTGGACTTAATTTTTCCTCAGCGTTTTATGAGCTACTTTTCCACGTTTTATTTTCCTCTTGATTTATTAAGCATTTGGAAATATGTATTCAACATTTTACTGGCATCTGGTGCATCATTTTTTTCAGCAGAGCTATTTCGGACGAAAACAGTGGTTCAACCACATTACAATAGACATATCTATTTATTCAAATCAACGTAAAGCCATCATTCCAAGTATAAGTGATGCACCCATATTACATCACTATACAAAATAATTTATAGTAATCGAAAATAACATCAGGATAGTCTTATTTTATCCTCTACCATGACCATCAAATATGTATATATCTACACACATCCTTGATTTCCTTGGATGGCAGAGTTAATTTTATGAAAGCTCTTGCCTTATGAAACCCATTTTCCAGCAACATCATCAATCAAAAGTTAACTAAACGATTGTGCCCATCTATACCTTTGCAAATAATTGTTCGCTAAGAGTTTGGAAATAAGCTTTCGTCTAAATTATGACTTTAAAAACTCTCTTAACTTTGGAATCTTGTTTGTAGCGCTTACGGGGCGTTTTTCATATTTATAAGCCTATAGAACTTGTTTGACCTTGTTTTCGCAACTTTGTCATATTGGCAGGAACGCACCTTGTCCGGAGTCCATAGTATAAATGATAATTTCCAGAGTCAGACCGGGGACTTAGTACATTCCCAGACGCTTCGTCGGCATCGTCAGTGAGCCTTGCCATTCTTACCACCACATTAAAACTCGTCATTGACGAAGCCAACTGCGATGCCGGCCAAGCGTCTGAGAATGTACCTAATCGATGGTCCGACTCTGGAGATTACAGTGCATATTATGGACTCCGGACAAGGTGCGCTCCTCGGTCTTTCTGTCAGCATGACCAAGTTGTGAAAAAAGGTCAAACAACTACTATACAACCAGAAGCGACTTTGATCTTAATAGAGGTGACTGTGATCTTAATAGAGGCCACATCATCTTGGTCTTCGGT